CAGAGTATACGTACAGTCGTGCAGATATATAATCGGAATCTGAGAGCAGGATATACTCTATATTTTGCTTTATATTTCTCATAAAGAACGTAGTGCAGCTCATGAAAAATAAGTTTAATTAAAAATAAAATTAAAGATAAACAGTAATTTAGATATTCAATTCATTTCAAACAGGTATTTGTATTCATAGCTCACTGAAAGCTATGGATGTATGTTGTTAATTTCCATTTCAATACTAGAAAAACAAATTTAGCCTTGGCTTTCAGCATTTTTCCAACAGTCTTACATTAAAGCCGAGAATGATCTAATAATGTAAGGTCATTTTTGAGTCTATTTTGTACGGAGTATGAGGTATGTCCAGGTATGCCATCTACTGTTTTGCTTGATGTCATTAAAATCATTAATTTTATAAAACGCATTTTTACGATTTCAGAGCATCGCCTATGGGAACCGAAAAAAAATTAATAACTATCTTTTGTTCGTTGACAGGTTGACGTTAGTCTTGCTAACAAAACTCATATCAGCCTCACAAGATCATGACGCTATTTTTCAATTTCTTTCTTTCTTTTTTTTATGAATCGTAATCTAAAAAAATAAGGTTAACCTAAAACACGGAAAATTTGCCGTTCCACATTACACTACCAGTAAAGACATTTGAACAAGCATTTCTTAAAGAGGTAGTTAACGTTTCAAAACCAAAACTTGGAAAAAAATATGAACGACAGGTACAATACTGATCATTCCTCTGAAGGTGAACATTCGAGAGGAAAACAAAACGAAATCGAGCTACTTCAAGATTTTGCCCAAAATACAACGATGCATGGATTGCATTCAGTTGCAAACTCGAAAACCAAACTATCCAAAGTAATTTGGTTAACATTGCTGTCGCTGTCACTTTTTTACATGGTGAAGTCTACCATTTTGTCCGGTAAGCGATACTTCTCGTATCCTTACACAACTGAGGTCGGTGAGGAGTTTGCAGGAAAAAGTGGTCTTAAATTCCCAGCGATTACACTATGTCCAATGAACATGTTTGTCAAGACCAAAATCGAATTACAAGATGAACATCGGTTGTTTCGCAAGATGGGACTGAACTTAAAAATCTGTGATGACACAAGAAAATCTCGTCAAAGATATAACTTATCTTGCGGGATGTTCTTGATGTGCAATGTGGGGTTTTATGATATGGGAGGAAGTAATTGTGGTCCTGAAACCAAGACTGTTCTAGACGACTATCTACGCAATGCTAACAACTCCAGTGTCATCAATTATGAGGAACAATTTCGTGATATATATGGGCCAAATCTGGAACACAGTTTGGAAGATTGTAGGTTTATCAACAGGAAGTGTAATGCAAGTGATTTCACAAAGCATGTCTACACATATGGAAAGTGCTTCCAGATTAATAACGACAAACAAAATGCTAGCTGGACCTTCGCGTATGATAAACTCTTCATAGTTCTCGATGCTAAAGTCCATCAATACACAAAAAGTCCTTTGTTCACAGAGGGATTCAAGTTTTATGTTCAAGCACAAGGAACTTTCACATCTCCGAGAAAAGGGTTTGTGGTTTCTCCTGGAACCATAGCAAATGTAATGGTTAAGCAAACAAAGGTAGGGATTTGCATAGTGTTTCAGTTTTCTATTCCGTCAGTTATTCCTTCTCCTTTCGCATCAGCATATTCTACACTTTTTCTTTCCCGGTTTTTGTTGCTTTCATTGCCGCAGATGACATCTCAACTTTTCGTCACTTCTTCCGCAACATGCCGGAGTTCGTGACTCTCTCCTCTCTTCCCTTTAGTATATACCTACATTATTCTTGTTTTTAATGAGATAAGATCTGCATGATCTTTCTAATGAGATCTAATTAATGAGATGAGATCTTTACCAGATTCTTTTGTCAATCATTGCCACCTTTCAATTCATTCATTCACTTCTCGTCCCATCTTCTTTCCTCACACTCTTTACTATTTGATAATCCAACACCTTACTAGTTAATCTGAGTTTGCAATGCTTTATCAGAAAACCTACCTTAAACATCCCTACAAAAGCAATTGTACAGAAAGAGGTTTGAAAAGCTATAGTACGTACACCATACTTGGCTGTATGAATGAATGTTTCGAGGATTTGAAGGTCAAAGTGTGTGGATGCAGATCATGTGGCTACTTCCAGCACAGTAAGTTACAAATTGTATATTTCTCCTTATTATGACAAGCAACAATGTAGCGTGGTGCTATATGGGGATTGTATGGACACTAAATGCAATTTTTTTAAACTTTCAGATTCACAAATTCGTGTCTGCACAAAGAACGATTTGAAGTGTGAACAAGAAATCAGTACGTCACAATCCCTTATTATATATACATCTTGAATGTCGATACAGCCTTTTGCAAAAATTATGAGAATTGTCTAAATATCTAAATATCATAATATCCATATCCATATATTGTCCGGAACACGAGGGTTTGCTAGAATAATTCATTGTTGACATCGAGAAAATGTTCAGAACTACGGATAAGTCTGTCGCCAAGAAGAAAACTAAACTACAAAGACAAGGGACTAAGGGCATCGCGCAGGATTACCCATCATGCACTCGATATTATGATATTTAGATATTTCAACAATTCTCATAATTTTTGCAAAAGGCTGTACATGTATGTGTATATATATGCATTTATTTTATGTGCATTATACATACAGCCTTTTGCACAAATTATGAGACATTTTTATATATATAAATATACCTAACCAAATATCAAAAACACCCCAGAAATTATGGTATATCTCTATTATATTTTGTCATGATTGCCTAGCATCAGGTTGTTACAGACAAAATATCAGCGACGGTATCCCATAATTTCTTGGGTGTTTTTGATATTTGGTCAGGTATATTTATATATATAAAAATGTCTCATAATTTGTGCAAAAGGCTGTATGTGTATATATATGCATTTATTTTATGTAAATTACATTTATGATTGGTAATCGGTCAATATTATTGATCTTCAGAACGGTACGGTTCTTTGAGTAATTGATGCAGTTTTCTGGGATAGCATTAACACGAATTGTTCTGTGCGAATTTTTTGACGACATAGAGATGACTCTTGCCATTCTTGACGTATTTTTAGCCTTTCTGAAATACATATCAAACAGATTGAATAACGGGCCACGCCTACCATATATATATCCATCAACGTACGTACGTGTGTTTCGACTCTTTTCAGGGATTCAATTCAATCCGAAGACTTGCGACTGTCCACCGCCATGTTCAGAGACCACGTACGACTACCARCTATCTTACTCGACATTTCCCGACGTCAGAAGTACAACGATGCTCRAAAAACACCGCAAACTTTCCATTGTATATCAAAGGTATATCTCAGTCGCTKTCCACCGTTTGTGCAGCCCCTTCCCTCTAAAAACGTTATTTTCCTCAGTAATGTTCTTAAATGCCTATTAATAAGATTTTACCTAATCATTACCATACAGACAAAACCTTGTTGCCATAATGATCCACTTTGAAGCAGCATCATATTTGACACAAGATGAAAAGGAAAGYTATACTTGGGAGGCATTACTTGGTAAGAAAACTACCATCAATGTCAAGTCTGAAGAGGATTTTGKCWACGCGCAATAAAAGTGCAACCATACTTCCCTAAACATATATGTTGTGTGYGCATTTTTTTGCAGGCGTTTTGATTGGTACAAAAGGGTGGCTTTATGTCACTAGTAAACCCGCAAGCTGCAACAAGAAGAATACAATCTATATTCTTTATTTTTTTGGTTTTAGGTGAAGTAGGTGGTAATCTTGGGTTAATGGTAGGGTGTAGTGTTCTAACTGCTGCTGAGATTCTACATCTTATYGCCCTACTAATCTACAAAGGATTCCAAAGATTTGGAGCCAAGCAGCGCAAAGTTAATTTGTCAAAGGAGTGTGAGCAGCCAACCATGTAGTAAAGTCCCCTGGATTCATGAACWACAATRAACATGTACACTGAGTGTTGGGAAATATGTTTTAATAAGAATCTACAAGTACTGCTGCATCTTGTTCGAGTGACATTTTTGTTTTAAACATAATACCTTTCTTTCAGCATTATACTAATATATTACAAAAAATGGCCATACTTGAAACAAAATATCTTATCTCAAATATTAGAAGGTTATTAGGTATTCCAACATAAAAATAGTGCATAAGACCTACTGTGCAATGTAATTGACTGATATTCATAACAATTACTCAGTATATTTCAATAACTTATTTTACTCAGCATCAAAAACTGCAGTGTTGCACACTACTGATCATTGAAAATGAATTGGAAAAGTGGCCTGCAAAAAAATTATTGGAAAAGAAAGAATTATATTTTAAAATTAATCTACATTTTATAAGTGCAAACACTAAACCATGAAATAGTAAACTAATATAAGTGATTGCTGATTCCTATTACCTATTTATCACTGTTTAGAACTATTTGATTAATAAGTTTCATGCCTTTAGTGTTAACCATCTAGTTCACCGAGATGATCTTTAGTGTTCGCCATCTAGTTCGTTGTAACAGTCAACAATTAAATTGTAGACTTATTTCAGGTGACATCTTCAATAGAATTGTGATCATCTCGGTGAACTAGCCAGTCTGTTTCTATAACAAAGTAGCAATAAAACTGAGTTATAGAATAATATAGCAGACACAATTTAAGCATATCTACAGTGGCATTTCTACAGGAAGTGGGTGTGGGAGATATGTACCCCYTCYYCCCCTTGTGAGACCATTTTGGTACTAATTGCTCCTGTTGTGTCYATGGCATTGGATATATTTCATACATGACTCACCTTGGCAGGTCCTGCTACAATAAAATTTTGTTCTCTTCCCACGACATCTGGAGTGATACAAATYAATGAAATTTTTTAAATTTAATTTCTTTGCCTATTTTCATGGGACATTTTAAAAAAGAAAAGAGAGCAAAATTTGGTACAGTGTACAGCTATCATACCTTTGACACTTTTTGAATGTCTTGGGTTCAGGTTCGACTTTGCGACAATTAGCACAAGCATGTCTTTTCCTCTCTTTGTCATGATGGCTCCAAACATCATCTGATTTCTTATCAGCCTTACGTTGTTGCTTAGCATTCTCCTTACATTGTTTCARCTTTAATTCATTTTCTTTAGAAAGTTTCTTGCCTAATAACTGTTCATATTGCTCATTAGGATGAGGTTTGTTCAATAATAACATTTTCTCAATATCATCTATTTTGTCCTCGTCTGTCTCCTTCTCAGAAGACATTGGTTTAAAAAACCCCTCATTTTGATAGTGTTCCATCATTTTATCAGTATAYACATCATCCTTTTCTTCACTAGGTATTTTATTTTCTGACGAATTTTGATCGTCATTTTTTCCTTTAGTTTTTTTATTTTCCAAGTGCTCAGCAAGAGAAAGGTGCTTTTCATTATGACTCTCAACTGTTTCTGTCTTTTCAGATGGTTTTTCATCTGGAATTGTACTTTCTGGTTCTGGCCTGACAAAATCAGGGTGTTCAAAGGCTTCAAGTGCTGCTTTAATTTGAGACAAACGATARGGATCAGTTTCTTGACTGGCCACAAACTCATTTATAAACATTTGGAATCKTTGRAATTCTTTGCGATCCTCCTCCTCTTTCAATTTTGCTAGTTCTTTTTCTTTCTTTTTTGAAGTRCTTCTTCCTGGAGGTGCTCCACTTTGTTTGGAAGACTTCTTTGATGCTGAGGCTTGTGAAGGAAGAGATCTTACAGGTTCTACATCCAGCCATCGACGTAGATATCTGCATATTGATCCTCCAAACTTGATATGTAGTGGAAGGATACAAATTACCTACAAGACAACAACAAGTCATAAGAATGAAGGATACGCTAATATCCACTGTACAACTTTTGAATCACTGGAAAGTATTTTCTTTATATAATTCAAACCTGCTTACTGTACCTTAATAAAAGTGCCATCCACACTTGGAGAGCCGAAGAGACGTCGAAACACATCACTAGATATCATATGCCAAAGTCAATTTTTTTATTGAAATATGGAATTAAGATATCTTATGATTGCTACTCACCGTGTTTCCTTGTGGAAGAAAGGGTCTCGAGCTACACATGAAATAAAACAATAGCGACTTTCAATTTATATTTAAAAAATKTAATCATATTTTTCAAATAATTTACTTACAATAYGATTTTGCTCCCATATTTGGTAATAGATTCTTATTTTGAGCTAAAATGGCTGCATCAGTGACTATATTTTTTGCAGTACTCAATTTACCTAAAAACAAAATCAAAAATCAATATCCCATTTATCTACTACTGGAACGTTGTTTTATGACACTGCTCAAACTCTTAAGCAAACAAAGACTCCCAGTAAATGCCTGACATAAAATGGATTGTGAATTTGAAATCATTTACCATTTACAAAGGTTTCCTTGTACATCTGAGTAGCTTCTTGTAAGTAAACAAGTCGGCTGTCAGTCTATACAACAAAAGCATTGACCAATGATTTTATTATCAGGAAATTAAGTAAATGCATTTTGAATTATCAGTGTGAATCAAACTGCACTTGGAAAAGATAAATAGTGTAAACTGGGGTAGAGGTAGTTGGAAGATAGTATATTATAACTGTACATAATCACCTTTGCAGAGATATCTTTTAAGCAACCATGACTGACTGAAAACTCCTTAAAAGCATCAACAAATTCCTGTTTCTTTTCTTTGGACTGAAATGTGAATGCAAGGATAAACAACTAAGACTTTAACTTTGGAACTTAAAAGTTGGCATGCTTTATCTAGTGATACATTTGTAGAAGCAGCTACTGTTGTTTACATCCGAAAGCAACAATGAATTTAACAAAAATCAAAGCATACCTGATCTTCCATCATCCTCTTGAAAGCTCCTGAATGTTTCTTGAAGAATTCATAATCAGCTGGACTCATATCTTGACCAAACAAATCAAAATCTGATGTTCGAAACGACACTTCCCTCATTGACGATTCCATTTTWAAACAATGCTTAAGCTTGAAAGTTAAAGGAAGAACCTTATCTACGAAAATGCTAAGTAAATACTTAACACAAACGAAGCCAACTGAAGGAAATATGAAAATATTCCTCGACACCGACGCCGGCCATCTTTAATACTTTCATTTTCGATTTATTAGAGGAGAGGAGCTGGGTCGAGATAGAATGACGTCAACACAGGAGGCCCATCCTTGTATATTRCGAAATTTTGTTTTCTGCTATATAAACTCTAAAGTAGTTAGTCATTAGTACACTTTATTTCACGGATAACAGTGGTTTTCTTTCTCGTGTTTTTAGGTTGYTTCTTCTGATTTATTATGAATAGTTTTTTTATAGAGTTGGGTTCGCTGTGGTTTGATTGACATGTTTGTTTTAGTTATTAAGTCATTTTATTACATTGCTAACATGTGATRTTCTCCTTGTTCGCTCAAACACAGCAGTCTCTAATCATCAGTTCTTTGAATAAGAAAATCRCACGAACCAACAACAGACGGCAGACCATAAAATCAGACAAGGTAAGGTTTACGCAATTTCAGTGCGCAAAGTGACTAGATTCCTAATTTTTGAAGYCTGTATGCCATAGTTTACGGAAATTTAATTATTAAGCTTCTTGACGCAAATTGCACTCCAAGTGGATTCATTAAACAAAGTTTAACGAACGTTAAATTCTGAAACTTTTTGAACTAGTTCTTATGTTGTAATGTGCAAAACCTATATTGATATTACATTGATCAAGCACAAGCGACAATTTTCAGGCGGATTTGCTGAGATAAGCCGGACGCATAAATGTAAAGATTTGGCACACTCACGAGATAAGAGTCTAAGCTTTGCGACATCGTGCACGTGATCTAATTTCAGTTAAACAAAGAAAAAACTCGTTACACATTGATGTTGTSTAAAGACAGACTTGAACTGCTTCACATCCTTGAATCCTTGCTGCTGAAATTACTGGTGCTGGTACTGGTGCATGACCAAATCCTGCCGTTAGTGTTTCCAGTATGAAACTAATATTAGGCGGTAGGGTTCAAAAGGCAGGATTTCCCAAAATTAGTATATAAGGAAGTTCTTACAGATTAGTATATGTTACAYACTGGAAATAGCCAATAAYAGTTCCGATTGCGCACAGGAAAACGATTTGACCAAGGTCAATGAACGCAACAAAGTTTTGCCAAAACAAATATTAAGCACTGTTGGTGGTGAGATGAGACGCAGAGACGAGTGTACTGGTGTAAATGTCAAAAAGAAAAGAAATTAGTGTCTTTTTATTTAGGATGGCTGGTCGACAAAAAATATCCATGGTGATATTGATGATATTCATAGTAATCGTCCATCTTTCAGGTGAGCAGTACGGTGGTCGTCAGGGCGGGGCTAGTATTTTTCAGAGGTGGTGTCTCAATTCGAGCAAAACGATATTGCGCTTTTTTTTTGTTCTTTTGAAGAAGCAACTTTTTCTATGCTATAGAAAATGGACCGTGTTTGGTATAATATCGTTTTTTTTATCAGAAAGTTGCTCTCAAAAAGAATTTCAATGTACATCATCAAAATGCATCCCTCTTGTTCTCAAGTGTAATGGCGACGATGACTGTGGCGATTCAAGTGATGAGATCAATTGCAGTATGTATATGATGTTTAGTATTTCTTTTCATGTATAAACAGCTGTGAACAGCAAACAAACGAATCTCTCGTCAGAAATAAAGACTTAAATAGAAAGGGAAAAGATCGAAGATCTTGTCAGGAAGCCCGCGGAGTACACGGACTGTCTATTTCAGTTAACTTCAGTTATTTTGCTTTAAGCGAATCGGAAGAAATGTGATGAAGGTGAATTTGAGTGTCTCGAGGGTATATGCATACCATTGTCGCTGGTATGCAATGGAAAAATGGAATGTCCACGAGGATTGGATGAAATGAAATGTGGTAGGCCAATGTCTTAAGCTGTCAATCAATGTAAACATTCAACTTTGACTGATCAGTTTGTACAGATATGGACGCTCGTTAGTGATATTCCTTATCTTATTTGTCATGGACAGGTACGTCACCAACTGCACCTCCCATGTCACCAACAAGTAAGATTCCGATCATCTGTTCTAGAACTATTGATCATTTAAAATTTCATTCCTTTTCTCAATAACGAAAGGTAATGCAGCCACTCCATTATTTGTAATCAAATTTCAGAGATCAAAGGAGTATTTCGAACAGCTAATGGAGCTAGCGTCATTTCTTTTCCAATATTTGAAAGTTCTCCTGCATTCCGTGTCTACCTTAGATTCACAGCACTTGAATGCATCGGCCATCTTTTGGAAATCACAAGTCAGACAACAGATGAGTTCTTTCTGGTTTCTCTCACTAATGATGGCAATGTTGATCTTTTCTTCAAGACGTCTCTTGGACCAGGGTTAATAACTATACCAGCTCCCCGTGGTTATAGTTTTTGTAATGGTAAGATGTATCTACTGACAATCAAGCGAAACTTGGGTAAAATCGTGTACAGAGTAAACAGGGGAAAAACAGTCAGCACAAAGAACATGTTTTTAACAGCTCCGTTTACAAGGATGAATAAAATCAATGTAGGTTTTGGTTTGGAAGGTTGTATATCTGGCATTGATATGTTGTACTATGGCAATGCAAGATCACACTCGGTGGGCGTGTCAAAAGGTTGTATTTTCACAGGTAAGCAAAAGGTTGTGTTTTCACAGGTAAGCAAAAGGTTGTGTTTTCCGTTTCACAGGTAAGCAAACCAGTCAAGACAATCACCATGATAATGACGCTTGCGTGTTCTATAACTTGTTGATGTATCACCAATAATTATTGAGATTTTCAATTGTTTTTCAGATAAAACAACGACACCAACTCGTCCTCCTAAGCTCCAAATGTCACTCAAAACGATTATTACCACTAGCACGCGTAACAGAATCAGAAAATCAGAACTTCASTTTACYCCYTTGTCGTCACGTGCTCCTACAACACKTCCGACCRTTACACAACCTGTCACRCAGCAAGAMACRCAAGYAATTAAAGAAAGCACTGAAACAAACCATCCAATCACGCATGCTACTGAGGTGACGGAGRCKGCAGGATATGAAGATRAAAAATTAACAACTACTTTGGTAAAGACGACGACAAACTTGAAACGAGGTACCMCAACCAAGAAACAGCCATCTACTCTGTCCGCAACACCCATAYCGTCAGTAACGTCATGTCGACCGCTTCCACAAGTTTGTGCAGGCTCTGGACTCAAACAAAAGACATTTCTAAGTGGTTCTAGCAAGTCTTTAGCTGGTAAACACSAAATTCATCGTTTTCTTCCATTCATMCGAGCAAATTGTTCCGCATTTCTGAGGACTTTCCTTTGCGCTTTTTACTACCCCACTTGTTCTGCGTCCACTGCAAYTCAGCCATGCCGCGAGTTTTGTTTGAAGACTAAGYATGATTGCTCGTCGTTGATGAATGCTTTTGAGTTCGAATGGCCAAAGTCTTTAAACTGTGACTTTCTTCCGAGCAAAACTGAAGAAAATTGTTTCATGCCACAAACCCATATACCGGAGCTCAACATCACAAAAGGTCAGTCAGTCAGTCAGSTAGCTAGTCARTTAGTTAATCAATCAATCTTTTGATATTCATATCCACCAGATTGTGGGGGAATACTTAGACGTTCGAAAGGACTTATAACATCGCCAAATTACCCTCTTCCTTACCCTCCTGATATCACTTGTCAATGGGCTATCGTTCTGCCAGGAATCTATCGTGTTATMAATCTTCTTATTGAAGATGCATCGTTGGAGTCGGACAAACACTGCGGGTGAGTCTTAAAAATAATGTTATTGTATGCGCAAACATACCTTTAACTCTCAGTAATATAACATCGAATAAAAAGATTCAAAATAAATTAAATACACACCTTAAATTGAATGAACAGGTAGACAGAAAGAAAAACCAGTAAAGGGCCATGCGCGCAAACTGAGAWCGGTTCATGTAGCGTTGATTATAGMTTTTCGCYTGTTTCTCAAGTGTTTTAAAATGTCAATCTAAATGAAAATGACGGGAAGTCACTTCTTCATATTTTTCAGGTATGATTATATTCTATTTAAAGATGGTTTGTCCAATCAAGTAGGAGAAAAAATGTGTGGTTTTCTTGAATATCCTCGTCTCGTTACAGTTAAAGGGAATATTGCGGTGATTGTCTTTAGATCTGATTCAGCTTTAAATAAGAAAGGGATACTTATCAAGTACGAAGCTCATGT